CCAGAGTCTAAACAAAAACAAGTAAAAGGGAGCAGATCATCCCCATTTTAACATCTTTGCACTGGCTCCCTGTTACTTTTAGAATCTATTTTAACATCTTAGTTTTATCACATTTTTGTAATGTAACTTTCACATAAAGCACATTTAACTGCATCATTTGTATGAAAGGTGACATACACATAGAGTTCATTATGATTATGATAAGGAATTTATATAAATATGCTACCTCTGTTTTTCTAAAATAATTGTTTTTCAGACTTGTGACTGAGATGAAGAACTTAATTCAATCAGTACTCATTCTCATCGCTGTGCTAATCTCAACCTCAGGTAAGATGCGCTGATTACAGTTATTTAAATTCAAGGCCGGACATTTTGTTTTGCACATCAACACATGACATCCTTCTCTCACTCTCTTAGGAGGTGCTGAGGAGGTGGTATATGCTCAGGTGGGAGATACTGTTACCCTCAAGTGTCCAGAGGCAAATTCACAAAAATATTTGCACTGGAAGTTTGATGCTACAGATGTCATAGAGCTTGCCTGGATCAATGACTTAGGCGGACAACAAATCACTAAAGGTGAACAGTGCATTGAGCTATTGACAGATATGATAACATGTTTTTACCATCACTCGATGAAACAGGTCTCTACATTGCAAATAAAGTTACTTTTGACACGAACAATCAGTTCTTGCCTTGCAGATAAAAGCTGGAACGATAAGTTGTTCTTGTCTGGTGACTCACTGGTCATCAGAAACATCCAAGAAGCAAACTTTGGGAAATTTTTTTGTCAATCGCCTTCTGGGCCACCTCTCACTTCCATCAAAGTACTCCAAGTCAGCGGTAAGAGTAAAAACAAGGTGAAATGTTTCACTTCAGTCATGTCACATTCACCCTGATACATTTTTATTTAAACAGGCTATTATACTTTATGTTATTCTAGAAATACTCAAGAGGCAGATGTGTTTTGACCAAAGGGCTGTGGGTTAAACTTAAAAACCGTTTGGCTTTTTAAAAACCCAACACACAAACTCATAAAACATGGTAATCAAGCTTTAAAAAAAAAAAACTAGGCTGTTTTCTTACTTTCTAAAAGGTTGACATCTGGGGAAGTTTTTTTTACCTAAATGCAGCAGTATTTCTATTTCTTAAACTATGTTTACTTGATTGAAATGTACAACCAAATAATTTTCTTCATTTCCATTCTGTTTCCTTTACCCTCTCTGTGCTAGTGAGTATGAATCCACGCTCTCCTCTGCTGCCTGGGGAAACTCTGACTCTGTCCTGCAGCGTAAACACTCGGGGTAACAAGGAGCCTGAGGTATACTGGCTGAATCCCCAAGGAAGTAGAATGGACTATAGGCAAGTCAACAAGAGAGCCACAAGCCAACACACTGGCGAGTGGACCTGTGTTGTAACAGATGGCAAAAAGAAAAAAGAGACCAAAGTTTCTGTTACGGTTGTGGGTGAGTTACTGTTTATGCACAAGTATGCAACTGTTTTACAGTAGTGTACCTTCATCCTGAAGATACCATTGTTTCTCTTTTCTTCCTTATTTAGACTTATCCCCGGCTCCTTCAGATCCTAAGTATACATCTAAATCAAAGACTCTCAACATCCCCTGTTCCATTGCTCCTCACGTCACCTGGGAACATGTCAAAGCTCGGGACGTCCAGGAAATTTACTGGCAATTCTCCCCTGATCCATCCTCAGGTCTAGTTTCTAAAGATACACAGAAGCTCTACTTCCTCACTCTGAATAATTCGCTGTGGAAAAACACGGGCCAACACAGAGAACTGAGACCTGTACAAAACTTAAAAAATGGAGATTTGTCTTTGACCAGAAAGCAAGGCAGAGAAGAAGACAGGGGAAACTATGTGTGCAACATGAAATTTAAAAGCGGTGTCACTCTGACCAGGACCGTGCGCGTAGAGGTGTTGCAAAGTAAGTCAGAACAAATTGTGTGGTACAAGCTCAGCTCTGTGTTACACTCACATCTGTCATGTGAAATTCTTTTGACTTGTTCATTAGTTATCACAGTGTCCTCATTTATCTTTTTGATGTCCAGTTTCTTTGCTTCTTACTAATTGTTATTCATAACAAGTTGGAGACAGTTCTTTGTTTGCCACCTCTCTGCTTCTGCTCTCTTGTACCAATGCAAGTGTTTTCATCTCTCTGCTGCGACTTTATTTGAAAACGTCCCTGGTGTGACATGTGTCTAATTCAGTGGCTAATACACTTGTCGAGCTCCACTTGCTTTAATAGGGTATAACGAGCTCCCCCACTGCCATAGGAGCGTGATAACACAATGAATTTTAATTGGACTCTGTGTTCTGAGCATTTATAATATAAATCTAAGATTTCTTATCTTCATCTGAAGTTTTATTTAACCAGGAACACTGATCTGATGGATTTATTTAAGGCGCTGGTATATCTAGCATAAATGAGCCTCCTGATTTGTTTTTGGACCCCGTACTTGATCCCATTGGAATCCGACTGCAATTTTTGTGGTCTCTCTTCAACTTTGCCAAAACCAAACCAAATTCAATTCGGTGTGCAATTGAAAGACTGTCGATTTATGAAATACAGTTCTGTCAGTGAATTCTTATTTAAGTTAGTTGGTTAGTTAGTTTGTTTATTGTGTCCAAGCTGGCTAGTTCAAACCACAGAGAAACAAGTTTTATACCACAGCTTTAGACTGGTTATAAGTTACTGATTGGTAGGTAAAAGTATAAAGTTACATATAGTTGTTATATGTTTACTCAGTGTTAGTTTGTAGATCGATGTTAAAAATGCAAAGAATGATATGACATGGTCACCTAGTTGCAGGCTCTGGTGGATAAGGTGCATTATGTCTGTATAACTTTTTTAGGTAGCTTATGATATTTTTCATTATCGATAAATCTGCGAGCTATTCTCTGAACTTATCGATGATTCTTTTTGTTTATAAATGTTGGGAGATAATGAGGAGTGCACTGCAGTGTCCAAAGATATTCAATTTACTAACACTGAAGTCTAAGAAGACTAGCAAGCATTGACATTTGAGGGTTTGAATCCAGAGAAAGTTTGACATTTTTGTTTTTAAAAATAACTTGGTTGACTAATCAATAATCAAAATAATTGCAGATTTGTTTTGTGTTTTTTTCTCAATCACACGATTGAGACTATGTTTCAGCTCTAATTTTTTTTAGGACTGTATTCTGTATATCATAACTGACTAATACTGTACCACTATGATCCCATTAATAATTGTTTTATTAAGTTGTTAATGCTATGTGCTGTGTGGTTGTGACACTGATGCTGTTATTTATGGCTTTTGCTATTATTTTTAACGTTCGTAAGAATAACTGGCAGGTTTATCTGGCACACTGCAGCCACAGAGGCCAAAGGCTCGGTCCCATTCAAATAGTAAATGTAGAGGAAGACGACAGCTTCAAAAAACAACAGCTTTTCTCAATTTTCTATTTATTTCAATAAATATGTTTTTCATTTCCTTGTTCTTTCTTTCTTTCTTTCTTTCCTTCCTTTGTTCTGTCTCCAGTCATCTCCTCCCCACAGACAGACTTAGTTTCTGGCCAGCCGCTCAACTTGACTTGCAGCCTTGGCCACCCGCTGCCCTCTGACCTTCACCTGAAGTGGTCCCCACCTCCAGGATCGTCCCTGCCGGCTCTGAAATCTGACCATCATCCCGCCAATGTCATCATCCCGGAAGTGGGCACAGGAGATGGAGGAAAGTGGGAGTGTTCACTGTTGCGGGGCAAAAATCAGCTTACGTCAGCTGTGATAACGCTGAAGATCGGTGAGCACAGGAAGTGAGAGGAGAGCAGGAAATATGACTTGGGCTTGACCTTGTGGCCACAATCTTTTTACGACAGAAACTCGGTTTTACATGATGCGTTCTCTGTACTGTACACTGTTTGATGACTGTCTTTCCCTGTTGTATGCAGAACACAGACTTAGTGTGTGGATGCTGGTGATCATATGCAGTGCTGCAGCCATCGTCATCCTCATCCTCATCCTTGTTTTCATCCTCTGCCGACGCAGAAAAGTACAGTTAAACCATCCCTATATTTCTTTCTGTGAGACGACACTGAAGCGTTAGTGCGGCATTAAAAGTTAACTCTCTATCTCTCTATGTTTGTTTCTCTTTGTGGCTGACATTAGCGGAAGATGCGACACCTCAGGCATCGACTCTGCCAATGCAAGAAGTATGTACTAACCATTTCCTGAACTGATGATGTGGCTGCAAACACACATTTACACTCTCACTCATCAGCGCTGAAATCTGTATAACACTTTTAGCCATAAGGGGTTTTATGTAGACTACACATATTAATAAAATAAACATCTACATTTTGCTTTTGGTAGCCCCGTGTCTCTCTCCACAACTCAAAGAGAAACCTGTGACTTTCTGTTTCAGCCCCAAGCCCAAAGGTTTCTACAGGACATAATATCTCCCAGAAAGACATTTTCAAGAGGACGCGGCAACCAACTGAATTTCTGTCCAGATAAGATGGATTTTTCTGTCACATCTGCGAAGACTGTGAACCCTTTGTTAGCAGTGTTAGATGAAGGTCTGGAAGTTTAAAACAAAGTTCAGTCACTGCTGAAATGTCAGATAAGACTCTTTTACTCTTGTATATATCAGCCAGTTTGAATTTTATATTTGTAATGTAAGGGATTTTTTTGTGTCACAGAATTGCTTTATTGTTCATTCAATGATATCATTGTTTGTGATTATTACTGCCTCTAACTGTTTATGTTATAGTTGATTTCATTCACACTGTTAGATTCAGGTTTTTGAGGACTAATTGCCACGTCATGTATATTTGTTTTCATGATGCTCAATACTACTGCACTGAAAGGCTTGGTTACTTACTTCTATAAATATTTATATGATATACACATTTATATTATTTGTACACAGACAATGACGCTTTATTACTTCAAATAAAAACAGGATCCTTTGACAGAATTATGTTGATTTATTGATTAAAAGGCACCATAAAGAAGTAAATGATGAATATTTTCAATAAAGCATCATAATCTTTCATATATGTGTAGTGGTCCGATGGTGAGGGAGGGCGGAGGGAGGTCACTTGAGCGGGATGGCGTCCATCTGACAGATTCGGGGATACAGGAAGGTACAGGGCACATCGAACCAGGTCTGAGAGTGGCCGTCCACCACCACGCAGTCCTCTCCCTCCGGTCCACCGGACTGGTTGTTGTCTGGCTCCGATTTCAGGCTGTCCCAAAATCTTCACGATGGGAAAGAGAGAAAAAGATTCAGTGTGTGCTGCTCGGCACTTGTGGCACTTGTCACCCAGTCTGTGACAGATTCATGTCAGGGAATCTGTGATGTTTCTAGATATGCTAACTTACCTATTATCTATTACCTATACCACCGCCGACTGAAATATCAACAGCCGTTTGATGAATTGTTTGTTATTCATGGTTCCCAGAGGATGTGTAAAATGTCTCAACATTTATGGATGAATCGTTCTCATGACGTCTGTGATCCGATCCTCACTTTTATATGTAGCGCCATCATCGGGTCAAAAATAACGGTTATGGCTTAATACCCGCAAAACTAATGACATTCGACTCAACTGTACTTTGTACTCGGTGATAGTTAGGAAATGACTATGGCCAGTCACTGTTAGAAATATCTGAGGTCTGCATGCGTAAACACACACACTGACAAGAATAAGCTCCACAGACGCTTGTGCTTTACGCTGCATCTGCTCATCAAGGTCAGCTCACACATTAATATTCTTTAAGGTCTTGGCAAACTCAGTGAACCTGTCTCAGATGTATTTGCATTTTTCTTGTCCTGATTTCTGGCTGAATTTCAGATGTTTCCAACATAGTAAAAGCCTTTATTGTAATTCTATCCTCTAACATGAAAATGCACAGAATTAATCTTGTGTAGGTGTCGCACTGGATGCTATCTTTACAGTAAAAACCAAGGCCTTCATTGTAAGTCTATAAATCCTATGTACAGCTCTCAGTCCGTACAGGCAGTTGCTACAGCTGCTTTTTGGTTTATGGTTATTAAACCATCATCAGGATGCTTGTTAATGTAGAGACAATAATTTGAATTTTTGTAATTTTATACATACGGGTTTGTAAGGTTTGACTTGTCCACCCATTTCCATTCTCCTTCAGTCTCAACGTCAGTCAGTCCAATCCAGTAGTCTTTGTAAAACCCTCCAATCCTTCTGCTTTCTTTTTCCACGGCTTCCTAAAAATGTATTACAACCAAATTTTTAGGCCTTTTTTTGAATTAACAAATACATTGAAATGCATAAAAAAAGACACAGAAACACTTACATGTTCTTCTCTAGTGGTTAAGATGGCAAGATGTCCGCCTGATGCTGTACAGTTATTTTCACTGTCAATCCAGTCCTTCTTGTCAGTTCTGATGTGGAAGCACTGATCCCCAACCTGAAACCACTGGGGAGGACACTCGGAGCAAGTGAGCCCTGTGAGGGGAGATTGGTAAGAGAAATGATCATCCAAACATCCAAAAAAATAAAAATTCAAGTTAACAGTTTCACAAATGATGCAGAACATGTGGGAGTGCAGAAGAACATAGGCTACATAAACTAATGATGAATTATCATCCATCTGCTGGAGCCCAGAAGAGAAAAGTACAGTACCTGGAGCTGAGCAGTTGGCTGCCAGGTCGGAGTACTGGTTACACAGGTCCTTGTAGCGAGTCTTCAAAGAGTTTAGTCTCAGCTTTAGTAAGGCTACTTCTTCCTCTGGACTGCTTGCAGCCTGAGAGATGGCTTCAGACACCAACAGGCCAATGAGAACATAGCGCATGATGTGGCCTCTGATCCCCAGGGCACCTGATTAGATGGACAGTAGAGGGTAATAAAAAAAAAGCAGATATAAAATTAAAGCACATGCCAGCAGACGCACAGACAAAGACATCTCTTCTGCACGCTGTATAAGGTAGGGAGGTCTTACCTTTGGTTTTGATGAGGTTCATAGTGGCTGTCAGGCTGAAGAATATCACAAACTTTGACTTCTCTCTTTGCCCTCTGGGTGTTTTATAGAGCAGTTTGTGTACCAAGAGGAGGGAATGGAAAGTACAGATTGCACAAATCTACCACACAGATTGGACTCTTAATGATCATCAAAGTGTGTAAACTCAGATGGTGCAATATCTCGTAGCCAAACCATTGATGAACTGCCATATCGGATTAGATAAACAAACATCTGATGATGAATCTCTGGCATGCAGGTTCATGCCTTATTTACTGTTACATGAGCAAAGTTCCTTCCCTGTGCCATTATTCTTTTTTTTTTTTCAAAATTGGCAAAGATGAAGGTCTAAAAACAGTGATTCAGCATTGACCTGTACAGCGTGTGCGTGCATCTTTTCCGTGTGCTAAGGGGTTATTTGTATTCTCTCCGTTAGGAGAGCAGCTGCAGCAATATCACCTCTACACCACACAGGCACACCAGATGCCCACTCTGTTGCTCCAGAAGAGTGTCAACATGTTTTTTTGGTACATGTCCCATTTATTTATTTTTTTTTTTCTTGGCACCTTATTCCCACAGCCATTGTCAGCTCTTGTACTTCATGAGCTCTTATTATTCAAACCAAATTAATTAAAGCAGAGGAGTATTTGGTTATTATCTCGCACTAGTGAGCTACAATTTGTGGTTGTACATCACCAAAAATTCTTATCATCTGGAATCTCTGTGCTGATTCAGAGCTTGGCCCTTCTTTGTAAAAATTAAATAAAAAAAAAATAGTCAGTGCACACACAGCTCCCACCTGCTTTCCCATCACAACCTTGTCACAGCCCCAATTTTAATTAATGTCAGGAAGTTGAAGGTACTCAGGTTTTTTTTTCCCACCTATCTTTGAAAAACTTTTTCTCCTCCTCTGAGTCACATTCTCACATAATATGCTGTGTCATCTACCACACATCTGTCATTCCCAGAATCAGTGCTTCACTCCAAACCGAGCGAAAGAGTGAAGAAATGACTGGTGCTGTTGTGCAATATATGGCAAGTTGACAGTGAAACCAGAGCAACTAGCAGAAATCCGTCACACAGAGCCAACAAACTGAGGGAAAAAAAAACTCCCAGTTTGGATTAACAGAGTCTCCTATTTTTCAGAAAATACTTAACAAAAAAAGCTGAATTTTTTTTTTTTTGGGGTGGGGGACTGAAGGTACTGCGCAGTTTAATCGCACAGCATTTCTCTGAGCACATTTGTTTCACACTGCAGCAGTGTTGTAGGCAGAGGAACGTGCCTCGATAAATCAACCAGCAGGGACAAATTTAATTTCATGGAGAAATATTGCTGCTTGGGAGAGAAGATACCAAAGCCTTTAGGGACCAGAGGAGGTGCAGCATAAAGAGGGACAAAGTGAGAGAGTTAACAAGGACACTGCAGACATGGAGGAGGGAGAAAACTACAGCAGCCTACAGGAGTTCAACGAGGAGCCAACACCTGGAGGGAATAGGCCCATACTCGAACACAGCGACGGTATTTTGTAGTATTATAGTTATATAGTGCATTTACTCAAGTACAGCACTTAAGTACAATTTTGGGGTACATGTACTTTACTTCAGTATCTCCTTTATACTTCTGTTCCACAACATATTAGAGGGACATATTGTTCTTTCTACTCCACTACATTAAGGCTATTTGACAGCTTTAGCTTTAGTTTAGATTTCAAATGAAGATTTTACAAAATGGATAATACAAAATACAACACTGTTAATTATTACTCCAGTGGTTTCAATTTTGGCTCTGGCATTTCGCAAAAGGCAGTGTGTAGGCGGGGTTATATTTCTCCAAATAGTGGTTCCCAAATGGTTTTATTTCAATAAATGTTCAACGGATCCAATATCTTACCAAAAATCAAAGATTGGAGATAAAGTTCAAAAACTGAAAAATGATTCATGTATCAAAATTTTTGTTTTTTCATCTTTCCTCATCATCTCACAACCCCTCAGATTTATCTGGTGTCCCTGTATGTAACACTGAATATGTATGTAACACTCCAGCGCCTACAACAGTAACATGCTGTTTACACACTGATGCTTCTGTATTAACAGTATAATCTGAATGCTTCTTCCTCCACTGTGTGTAAGAAGCATCAGTGGAACATAACTAAGTACAGTACTCAACTACATTTTTAAGGTACTTCATCTTAACTTGTGTATTTCCTTGTTACGCCACTTTATGCTTCTGCTCCACGGCCTTTTGAAGGGCTGAACTTGACTTTTTCCTCCACGACATTCACCTGAAAGCTGTAGTTACATGTTACTTTGCTGATTAAGACTTAACATACAAAGCATATTATTATCATTATAAGATATGATGCAGTGTTACAGATTCAACTGACCGGCAGTATGTAAAAGTGTAGTTTAAAATTGGCTTCACCTCAACCAGCCTCAACATTAAACTGCTGCTTACACATCTGTGCATCAGTAATAATATTCCAATGTCATTATGTGCTTATATGTGTGTATATCTTAGTGTTTGTGTGTTTACATGACTCTGTGAGACACATAATCAGAGTATCCATTCGACTAAACTTTCAGCAGACATTTTATCTTTTGGGAACAGTAAATGTTATGAAGCTAAATTCTGGTCAAGTGGTTCAGCTCTGCAATCTCCTCTTACTCAAAGTCTGCACTCAGCGCTACACCAGAGGATTAAAAGTAGTGAATTGACAGCTACCATGCTGTGGACTGTTTTGTGTCTAATCAGGCTCCCAGGGACGGAAGCGGGGCATTGAGTGTTTGAGGAGTCAGACGGCTCTCCTGATGCTTATTGGCTTTTTGGCCTCCATCTGTGCCAACATCGTACTCACTGTGCTCTGTGAGTATAAACACTGTCTTACAGCCTCCTGCGTTTCCTGCCCTCCAGTCTGAGCGCGTATATCTGCCCGTCTGTCTCTCTGTCTGTATGTCTCACTCTATTCCTCGGCCTGCCTGATTATTCTCTCTTTATTTCAGCTCAGTGTGCTTTTGGACACCTATAATTGGCAATAAAAAAGATAAAGCGCTCTCTCCAGTCCAGTGAGGGTCATGTAATAGAAAAAGCACAAAAGTCCATAATTGTGAAATATTTTTCCTGCAGGGCCAAGAGTCTCTGGCAGCTCAGCCTGTTAATGTGCTTGTGAGGACACTCTCTCATTTCGAACAAACACCACTGGGGCTGTACACCCTTGATCAATCACCACCACTGCACACACAAATTCAAAGACAAACACACACAAGCTATTGAGTACAATTTTAGTGTCTGAAAATAATTACTTGCATGTCTTACAACAAGAGAAGGAAAAAGAGAAACATCTAACACTTTTTATGAGACTGGGATCTGCAAAATATTGTGAGACTCTTGATAGAGAAAATATTCAATGATTGATTTTATTCAACTTCATGAATATGGCATAGAAGTGCATATTATTTGCTGTATAATAAATATTCCTGTCAGTTAAGTTTTACCATTGTGGATCAGTTAAGATAAGATATTCAGTACATATATATACTTTATTTCTGCTGCAATGGTACATTAGTGGAAAAAATATCTGTCATATTAAAAATTTAGTACAATTTTACCATTAAATGTTACAAATATCTGTGACAGACAATTTTAAAATACAGTAGTGTATCATGTGTGTGTATCATTTGATCTCAGTACCTTGGCAGGCTCACCAGGAAATGGTATTGTCATTAGTTTTAGCCAGAAAAATATGTTTTTACAGTAAACACTAACTCTGACGTAACTCTCTAACCACAGTGAAACAGGTGACAGTTAATGAAGCTGAAACACCGCAAACATTATGCTGAATAATCTCAAGGTCACACAGGTGCTTTGGTTTCTCAGCAATATTACACATTCATTCTGAGGTATTGTTTGTGTCTGTATGTCGTCATTTTGCCAGTCTCTCTCTTGATATAAAGCCAAAAAAATATATGGCCATTATCTGTATTTATGACTTATATTACATCAATTAGTCTTCTTAGAAAGCATTACGGAAATAACTTTTTAATGTTTTAGTGGGCAAAGGAGAATTAGTAAACATAAACAGAGGAAACATGACTGTGGAGAAATATGTGGCAGTGAAACCAGACTAAGTTCACATTGTAAATGATAATTTCTTACAGCCGCGAGGGAGCTCATATAAACTCAATTATTCCAGCAACAGCAGCAATAAAGTCTTACAGAGATTCACAAAGTGCACAGAGGACAGGCGTATGTTTGAGGAGGGAGAAGTTAGTGGTGAATGGGGAAACACAACAGTCTGAAAATTGTATCCATTTTTAGTCGTGCTTTTGTGGATGGCAATGCCAATGTCACATCACTTTGGTCCAGACTGAAATATCTCAACAACTATTGGAGGGATTGCCATGACATTTTGTAGAGACATTTATGGTCCCCAGAGTCCTACTGACTTTGGTGATCCCCTGACTTTTCCTGTAGGAACCACCATGAGGTTGACATTTCTAGTTTTAAGGGAAACAGCTATTGGATGGTTCATCATAAAATTTGGCACAGGCATTCATTTTCCCCTCAAGATGAACTACAACAACTTTGGTGACCACTGAACTTTTTTATCAGGTGCCTATCCTACCTATCTACCTACCTACCTACCTGTCTATTTCTCAGTGATTGGCAGGCCACAGCCAGGTGCCTCCGTGGACTCGTCATCTCCAGGTCAGAAACTGAACTCGGTGCACAGACGTTACATCCAGCTGTGTAAAGACTACACCGCCCTGGGACTGAGCTGTTCAAAGACAGGTGGCAAGATGTAGATCAAACATGTACATGATCCTCATTTCCTGCTGTCTTTGATTTAGTGTTCCCCTCACCCTTTTATCTTGCTCTTTCTCTCTCATTAACAGTTAAGCAGTGCAGCGAGTGTCCTGAAGGATGGCTTCATGTCGGGGATCAGTGTTACTATTTCAGCAGCGACAAGCTGGACTGGCTGAAGAGCAGAGACAGTTGTGCAGAGATGGGAGGCCACCTCACCATACTACACACCGTGGAACAGCATGTGCGTGTGCTAGTGTGTTTGTGTGTGTGTGTGTGTGTGTGTGTGTGTGTGTGTGTGTGTGTGTGTGTGTGTGTGTGGGGCTGAAATGAACACAACTCATCAGCAGACTTAGACAGAAGTGAACACTTTGTCTGTGGAGCCCTGCTGACCGGCACAGGTGTTCCTCATTCCCCTTAATTGGGTCGGTTACTGTGTGCTGTCCGCAAGACAAGAAAACTTAAGACATGAGGGTGTGTGTGTGTGTGTGTGTGTGTGTGTGTGTGTGTGTGTGTGTGTGTGTGTGTGTGTGATGATGGGGAACATGAAGACACCTTTGCAAGGCAAGGTTACTCTATCTGGTCTACTTCTGCAAAGGCACACTTTAAGATTAGAAGTTAGCTTGAAGTTAAGCACAGGCCTTTTGCACCGCAGGTGTTACAAATAACTTTAACGATGGTTCTGTTCTAGTCACATGTTCTCTGACAGTGTGTCAGTGAGCCAGCATGCACAATATCCAGGACCCTGAAACTGAAGCAGCTAAATGGAATTCAGCCATCATTCATTTTAGTTATTTCCAAATAATCAAGTCTACAGTCTGTTGTTTATAATCTGATCTTCTTCCAGATTTGTTCCTGGTATTGTGCATGCTGGTTTACTGTCACACTGTCATGGCTTACTGGGACACTTGAAGTTTCCTGCTACAATAAGTCAAAATATCTGTGGTAAAAAAAAGGCCTATTAAGCATGTAAATATGCCTTAAATGTTTAATTTTCAGTCACACTTTGGGTCTTTAAAGATGTGGGTTTGGTTTACCAATGCATCTGAAGATCCTTTGCAGTATGATAATAATAATAATACAGTTACAACAAAGTGTTTGTGTTTAATGTGGCTGCAAGTCAGAGGCTAAGAATGCATTAAGATAATTTTGTAACAAACATAAGCATGTGTGTCATTTCAAGGAAACTCTGGAGAAAGAAGCCAGGAGAATCGGTGGATTTGATTACCACTTCTGGATCGGCCTGTCTGATATAGAGCTCGAAGGAGACTGGAGATGGGTGGACAACACAACACTGCAACACAAGTAAATTATCTGATGCATAAAGTCATTTAAGTTGCTGTATTTGTTTTCAGTTTTTATGATAGTGAATAAACCATCCAGGGAGGGCCTAAGCCATCAAAAGCATACTAACCAGCCTGTTTTACTAGGCTTGATGGTATAAAAATTATAAATATGTAATATAAGAAACATTCACAACACCAAAATAAGTGTAAAAACCATAAATGCAGGAGGCACACGCTGTCCATTCTTGTAGCAAAGCCTCAGATAAATCAGAGCTCAAACATTTCATCATCAACAAATCAAGGAGCTGGGTGAGCTTGTTTTTCACATTTGTCAGAGATGTTCACATCTGTTATTTATAGCTTACCCTATCTATACCACTTTCCTGCACTCTCCCTCTGTCACAGATATTGGGATCAGTGGAGCTCAGAGCCAGATAACCACCAGTCAGGAGGGGAACACGGAGAGGACTGTGCCACCTTGGATAGCCACTCAAAGACATGGTTTGATGTTCCTTGTGATCACATTTATAAACGAATCTGCCAGATGGATGCCATTCAACTCAACTGAATCCTTACACAACTGACAATATTACACAAGTTGAAAGTCTGGAAAACTACACAGGGTTGTGAAAGAAAAACCTAAAAGTAATTGCTACATATTTGGGATTACAGAAAATAAAACTCATGTTTACAGACCAAAAAATTACTTTTTGTGACATCCCGCATATGCACAGGAGACATTGTTTTTTTTCCTTGAAGTTATAGTTGCTGAAAATCTGCACATTGTGTTGAGATATACCACTTGGAGGAAATAGGGAGGGGGTCTCATAATGGTAGCCTACTATTGTATTTCTGTTTTAAAATAAATTCAAAAGGAAAAAACATAAGAGAATGCACAGGCATTGCACAGATTTTTGACAAGGATACCAATATTAAAAAAAAAAAAATAGACTTTGACAGAACCCAGAAGGCGTAGAACCCTATTGTTTTTATATTCATCTTTCCTGTTCATCTTTGGGAGAGATTTGTGCAGCATAACAACTTAATACTGAGCAGCAAATTATTTAAGAAAGAACACTGTAGATTTTGTGTTGGTTTGGTTGTTATTCGTTTTAGCTGAACTGTGTTGCTGTGTTGCTATATTCCAGACTTTTGAGACGAAATGTAAGAAAAAAATGTCAATAAAATGGTCTTTTTTATATAGTTTACCTTTTTGATATCTATATGACATTCACACTTCCATACAGCCTACTGTCAAGTTGACCAGTTGAAGTCTAGTCACTGATGTAACTGTAGCCTACAATACTGCCGAAAAGTGGTTACCATTTACTGATAAAGCACCATTCATAAAGGGTTTATAAGCTGCTGGAGTTTGTAATGGTTGATACATCAGTTACTAATGCTTTATAGATCAGTTATAAGCCATTAAAAACACCAATTGTGGTTGGCAGATTGAGGGAAATTTTTCTCCACTACTGGACTTTTCATGTCTTTTAAGTGAACTCTTTAGCTCTGTAATTCGTTAGGGAGACCTCTCCAGTGGCCTGTTGAACCACTTCTGATCTGGAAAGGGGCTGCAGGACATATGGCCTAAAATCCGTATATAAACGGCTTACAACTGCATTTACAACTGCTGACTTATTGGATTATTGTAGAACTATTCATTAATGATTCATTAAGATTTATAAGTGTAGCTGACTGGCTGTGAAATTTTATGTACTTCTTAATGGTTTACCAATATTTATAAGAGCATTTTTACCGAACGGAAATACACATTACCAAAACACTGATGCAAGAGAGAAACAACAGAATGGATACTTCTTCACTTGAAAGTGCAATAAAAACAGCTCTTACTATCAACTGTTACTGTTATTATACTGTTCCCTCTACATTTGTACTGTTTGATGTTTTGCCCGAATATCAACAGCTGATCATACTCTACATATAGGTTAATAAATGGTACCATAATAAATGCAGTTGTAAATGTTGATAATCGTAGTTTATAAATGGGTTCTGGGCCACGTTTTGCAGCCCTTTTCAAACAGTCCATTGGAGGGAGCAAAGTATTGTGCAGGAGGAGGACTCTCCATAAATTGGCAAGACAAAAGTTGCTCTTTTTAATTGTTTATAACTAATCTGTAAAGCATTATTAAAATATCTATTAGCCATTGATTAAGGCATTATTTACAGCTTATAAACTCTTATAAATTGTGCCCCTATTAGACAGTGGCCCCACCCTTTTCGGCTTGTGATGAATTTAAATGAAGTATATTTACATTATAGTCTATTTATGACCACTTGTCACATGTTATGGCTTCAGTGCAGGCATGATTTGTGTAAGTCCCACCAAAGAATAATTTTGCCTTCTTTGGCTGTTTAATTTGAAGGACTTTTAGAAACCAGAGGAGGGAAAAGTCATTGATCAAAAGTCGTTCCTCTAATCATTTTGTGATCCTTAACATTTGTCTGAGGAACATCACAAGGTATTGATCTCACATTGGAATCTCGGTAGAGAACACCTTATCACCGCTAGATGACGCTGTTCTCTCTAATCCGAGGATACTGATGCTGATTGACGGCAGCACTTGTCCCGCCCCTTCCCTGTACTATCCAATCAGGGATTACGCTGCTTTGTTGTCATACGTGTGCTGACGTGAGCTGAACAATCGAGAGGGAGGCTACCTGCTAGAAACCAACACAACAAGGTAAATTTGAACATATACAGCCTTATTATTACATGTTGTGCTAACATTTGCGCGCATATCCAATTCTGATATTAGTAATTCCACCTGTGGGTAAGATATAAACACCAGATCGGCTTTAAATGAACTGAGGCCCAGCATCAGCGGTTGTGTGAAGCCTTGCGGTTAGTTAGCCGTTAGCAACCGAGCTAGCATGACACATGGAGCTTCAATAATAAATAACAACAATTTAATGAGAATTGTCAGTGTAAAAGCATTCTTCTATCTGAAATCATAGGAGTGTGTTGTACGTTTAGTACTTTATCCGTCACTTGCACCAATGCCTGCTGTCAGCTGAGGTCCTTAGCTTTAATATTAGCCGGGTAAGTTAGCGATGCAGCTAACGTTAATACAGGGTTAGGAGATTTAGCTGAGTGAGCCTTAATTTATCTTTTTTCTTGATCATCGCCTCATATGACAAATTGCAAGAGTGAAAGTGGAGTAAATACGTGTTATGTTTGTATGCTGCTGAATTTCTGTGTTCCTGTAATTTTTTGGTGTATTTTGTACGTCTACTTTTATTAAGCAGTATTTTTTGTGATGTGTCTTTCCCTGAGTTTGCAGTCCCGGCCATTACGTAGTAGAAATATTGTTGACTTCTCATTGTCTCATCAGAAATCTGACATCATCAGAGCCTTCACTTTGTTTGTGAACCCTACTGTTTAGTATCCATCAATGCTTAAATGTATTAAATTGAATTAATGGTGCAGTCGAGAAGTTAATCAACAACAATTCAGGTTATCAATTGATAGTCTAAATAATTAGTAAGGCTAAACTGGCAAACATTCTCTGATTTCCTGAGCGACTGCAGTTTTTCTCTGCTTTAGAGCATTTAAATTGAATTTACTAGGGATTTACACTGTTCGTTGGACTAAACAAGCAATTTATCAACTGGGAAATTGTTATGAGAATCATTCAGTCTTTGCCAACTGACTATTTATTTACTTTTTGATTAATCAAATCATTTAAAAGGCAGATTGATGATAATGGAAATAATTGATCCAATATTGATCAATTCTCAACACTTGAATAATTTAATTTGAACTGAGCATTTTGAGTAAAACATGAGATTATTGCAATGCCCCCAGTATTAACTTTATCTTTGCTCCAATACTTTATCTTAAGCTCTTATCTTAAGCTCTTATCTCTAAAATAACAGTGTATTCACTTTACTGGGGCATTGCAATAATCTCATCACTAATACCAACATGCAGTTAAAACCCCTTAACATACAGTTTTCCCTTTTTGTTCCTTTATGTAGCTTTACAGTTGTTATTGTCTATCCTATTATCCCAGACTGTTTGACAATATCATGGTGATGATATTTATATTGAGTCACATATTCAAACTCCAGATTCAATGTTTTTATGTCTTCATCATTTCTTCCACTGGAAATATTCTAGATATGTTGTGCATCATTCTCTGCTCATTTTCCCAAAGTTCAGCCTGACATATTTGGTATTTTTTGACAGCTTGAGAGCTTCACAAGAATTTTAATAATGTTTTGTGGGTTTAAACAATGTTTGGTTGCACAGCATGGGTTTTTAGTGGCTGTCTGCAGACTTGTTGGTTGTATCAGTCTTAAGTTGACTTGCTCATCAGCAAATCTGCACATACAGGTATTTGTCTGCAAACACTGCATAATTTAGCATTTAACGTATTCAGCATGCAGCACATCATTTCAGTAAACTCTCAAATCTTAGAAGTGGTTTGCAGAGATCTTCAGAGCCATTTAAAGTCCCCTTTGGCTGAAGAGGATTATGGGGAAAATGGATCATCCACTTCTTAATAGAGCTGAGAGTCTATTGAAGTGAGTGGTTTTTGGTGAGTTTTTGGTATGATATACAATAGTGGAAGCTTACAGCTGCCAGCTCCAATTTTAAATTGTTTTCCTTCTAGGAGCTTCGTATCTTTTTTTTTTTATTATTTTATGACATTTTATTCCATTAGAATCTCTAACTCCATTTTGAATCTAAAGCTCCTTGTAACAATACAAAAAACAATGAAGCCATGATAGTAGCAAAACAAATGTAACATGTTTTCAATAGTGTTTGCAGTTCCTGTTGTACCATACAAAAGATAGTAGAAGGTACTGGGACAAGGGAATGGTTTTAATTCAAATTATTTTCCTTCACATTATGCCGACATGATACACAATTAAACATAATAGGCTACTTGAATTGAGAAGAGGGTAGAGCAAAAACAATGCTGTCATTATCTATGGTCATTACTGCATGACAAAACAATTTATCACAACAAGTAACTATGCATGCCTTTGCGCTTTGGGATCCCTTCAATTATTATTGGCTATTTTCAGTATTGTTTTTCATTAATGTTTGTATTTTTTTGTATTTTGTGTTTATTTCTGTATCCCAGTGGTCACCAACGTACACTGTATCTGAACAGCTGCAAAGTGCGTATTGACTGAGTCCACATATTCCTCTAGCCATCTGTCACTGATGTGCAGCCAGTTTTGTCCTTCTTTTAAATTCAGTAGAAAAACACAGATGGATCCAATCCAGCCTCAGATTCAGAGCTTAATTTGACTTTTAAAAATACCTGAAATTAAACAAAGTACTGTTTCTGAAACAGAGTGTAGGTTAATTTGTTTGGCTGCAACACATGGCTGCTCATCTGTTCAGCTTACCTGGGAATATGCTCTTTGGACCTCCTTGAGGGTGGCCCAGTGGGACAACATATGCAAGATGTGTATGGGTGCTTCTAAATCCATCAGATTTAGGATCATACAATACATCGACACTGGCTGAGATGAGAAAGAACCAGTCAGACTACTCTTAGCAAAGCAGACTGTGTTGCATTAATTTTAGGAAATGGCCTCAGGTAATGAAACTGATCTGATGCAACTGCAATAATTTTTTCATGCATCTGTAAGATTAAACTTCCCTTGTGTCTTAGAATGTGTCTACTGGGATTAAGATCTTAAAATATGCCATCAAAGTCAACAGGACATCTCCTCGCATTGAGTTGTCAGTTAAGACACTTTTGTGGGAGGAGCACACGAGTCGAATCAAACTGACATCCAGCTCTTCTATTTTTTTATATTTGTGTGATTTTTTTTTTAATTTTTTTACTAAAAAGCTTATGGGTTATTAAGCAAGAGTCAGGACAAAGTACAGAAAACATTGACCTTAGGTTTTACATCAGAGAATAGTCCCTTTGTGTCTCTGTATGTGTCTGTCTGTGTGTGTGGAGTCTAAACACAAAGTCACCACTTATTCTGGTGTTGTGGTCAGCCCAAAGTCTATTTGCATGTCTCTGAGCAGGAAATGGTTTTTGATGAATGCACACGGTCTCCTTCACGTCCATTACACTTTTTGCCCGCATTGGTGCTATCCACTACTTGAGTAGCTCTCCAGGTAATCTGTGGATGTTGTCAAGTGCTTTGGTCAAGAGTACTTGGCTGTTAGACGCTAAATGAGGAGGGAGTATTGTTCGGTCATATTGATGTCTCTTCAACAGGCCACAAGTGGTTGAACTGCGTTTCAAAGGGTATGACATGATCTCTAGATGCTGTGTCCTTGTGTAGAGTGTTGTGATTGTTACTAGAGTATTTATTGAAGATTATGACATTGTGTCCCTAGACATTATTTTTTTACAACACCATAATAAAGTGAGTGCCAAGGTGATAACAGATGTTATTGCCTTGATTTTATTTGTAGCATTCTCGTATTTTCTACTGCTGTTCTCACAGTATTTATGTCTCTGTAGTACCTTAGTCTAACCTGCTAACTGTGTCTTTGGTACCTATGTCACCTGGCATCAGATGGAGGTGGACCAGCTCCTGTCTCTGTCCGGCTCAGCACTGGCCCAGGCTGTCAGCTCTCTGCTGGAAACCCCAGGCCTCTATGTCTTCTCTGACATCCTGGAGCTGCCTAATGTCAGAGAGGTAAACACTCTTTCACACTTTATCTTCCTCACTCTCTGTCTATTCAGACCTTTTCAAACCTGGCACATAAATCCATCTTAATCACACAAGTGTTAATGTGTCCTAGGTATATGGAGATTCTGATCAACCAAACTACAATTAGAAGGTTAATTGGACCAGGATCATAGTTATCATCGACTCAAGTGGAAAATTGTATACAATTTCAATATCACCTATGTTTTATGTTAAACTTGCTTGAGAATACGTTGTTAACACCCTATTTTAGGACTAAAATGCTTCTGTTACAGTAGAGAATGATTGTGCAGTGCCATTGTTCCATACAATCCTGGGAAGAATGTAGAAGAATCCTGACCAGAGGGAATATTTGCTAAAGATTAGTGGCTCTTTTAAGGGGCTAAACAGTCAAATTGAATGTTGTTATTTACAAGGACCACACCAAGGTTTTGCACAGGTAAGTGGCACCGCTGAAAGTTTTGTGCAGCAAACTTTGCATCTAAAGTTTAATGCCTGAGAAAAACAGGTTTAAAATTTTGCAACAATTTTTTTCTTGGATACACAGAGGTAGAGGTAGAGAGAGGCAGAGAGAGAGAGAGAGAGAGAGAGAGAGAGAGAGAGAAGGTGAGGAAACGTCTTAATGGTTCAAACAATTAACATACCTCAGTCACTGAAGTCACTAATATTGCACCAAATTATAAAGATGCTTTAGAAAGTTATCTCAGATGAAAGAACAACAGTGCAACAGCCTGTTATTATGACAAAGCTTTACCGGTCACCTTCCCTCAGTGGTTTCCTGCTTGAATATGTATTTTTCTCAACTTTTTAATGACTCATAGCAGGTCAGTGCAGAGAAATATGACTGAAGCAGCCAGTAATACTTATTAAGTAGGTCTGTTATTTTTATCTGTTCACAACAAAAAATCTGGTTAAAGGAGTTTAAAAGCTTTATCAAAAATCTCCCACATTAGTTTTCATAACTCATTCTGTTACTGATCTTGAGCTGATAACAATGGCTATTTATAATATTTCCCTGACACACAGCGTTCCGCACACAGGGTGAATAACCACTTGCATTTCCAAAAGTGTCTTCTTTTCAAATGTATGTGGTTCAACAGCAGGGAACATTATCTTTTGCCAATCAATGATTTCCAGACATGCGCATGCATTGAAATCAGATGAACTGCTGCTGGGCTCATGTACGTCTTTAGTCTTAGTAAATACACTGCTAAATTGAAAAATTGCAGTGACAGAGCTTAGATTTTCCCCCAGGTGTTTATTGTAACCGGTGAAAAAGTTTGAAACAGGACAGACATCCTTACAGTAGAACAGTTGCATTATAGTCTAAAGTCTTGCAGAATTTCACGGCAAAGACAGACATCAGCTGATAGCTTCGAGTCAGCAATCAGGAAACGCTGTTTTTCCTAATGTCCAATCAGAAAGGAACACTGTAGACACATTATGACGCTAGGTGTGAATATAAACCCTCTCAGATGAATCCAAATATGTCTGAATATTGTCAGCCGGGTCTCCATGTGGCCTTTCTCTCTTTCACTCTCCCCGAGTCTCAGCAAGACCTCTGCTCAGACCTGTTCAGTCTGCATAGATAAAATACAGTTGCACAGTTCCTATGTAGAGTCTCATTACTTCTGCATTCTGCCACATCATTTTCTCCTTCCCCCTTATCTTTCCACTAAACCACAGCTGGAGAATGGCCCCCATGCACCAGTGTACCAGCTCCTGAACCTCTTTGCCTATGGAACCTACTGCGACTACAAAGGTATTGCAGCGGCAGCACAATGTAAATAAGTAATAGGGCAGCCTGCGACTCTTTTATTATGAGCTGTATTTCTTTGCTACAAGGCAGGCACCTTGACACAGAGGCTTTAAACACCCTCACCTGAGACACTGCAGGCAGGTTATACACAGACAAAATTACTGGAGTACTTTTATCTGCTGGGGCAACTTTTTGTCAAGCGCTATGATTGGCTGATGATTGTCTGTGTTGCAGTAGCGCTGGCACAAATGGACAATAAACTCATCTTGTCTGACTTCATTTGCTGTCTGTGTAATTTGTTGGGAAGCTTCAACGAGAAGGGGAATGTTAATTATGTCTAATTTTATGCTGAATATCAACCAATAGCCTGGAAAAAGAATGTAGCCTACTTTATTGTTCCCTTCCCTTTCGAGTCACACCAACAGGGAGCGCATTTACTTTCACAGAGCTGTGTAGTGGAGCCCTTAGAGGAGCTGTCAGAGCTGCAGTCTTAGGGGGTGTGAATCCTGTCATCAAGGGAGCAAGGCAGCAGGAGACACAGTCGCTGGAGACCAACTTCCGCTCGACTTTGTTCTCTGACTGCTTAAACAGCTCCACGCTCACCTGCACATCTCTGTGTGAAGTAATAAGCAGTGCCTCTATTATGTGTGACTGTTTGACCCTGAGCAAAGTGACACTTGTACACTGCCCTGGTATATTTTTCCCCCCATTGTGTGTCTCTGTTTTATTTTCTGTTCTTGTCTGCTGCTGGTAGAGAGAGCAGCCTCTCTTCCAGAGCTGACCCCCGCACAGAGAAACAAACTCCGCCATCTGTCGATCATCAGCTTGGCTTCCAACCTCAAGGTTCGTTCTTCTCTCGTCCACTTTTTACAGAAAAGTGCAAATGAACCATAAGGTTGTATTTGTCTCAAAAATGGAAAATAAATCTAATTTCTGCTTCTGTCATATTGCTGCAGGCATCATGCAGCAAGATGTTAATGATGTATTCACAATTCTGCTTTTAAAGATTGCTTTGCTAGACACATAATCCTTTCTTTCTTTTTTTTTTCAAGTTTATGTGAGGTTGGCTGTAATTCTAAGCTTGTTGTTGTATTAATGTCTGCTAAATTAGGACTAAAGCAACAGACAAGCCTTAAGTGTCGCAAGAAAAAGTTGCCAGCACCACTACTACTTCTCATGCCATTTCAGATATCTTACCCCTCCCTCCATCTGCATGATAAAGTATTAAATGTTCTTTTTTTAAGGCATCTCTCATTTGCACCTTCCAACCATGCTGCTCCTCTCATGCCCTTTTCCTTCTCTGCTCCTGATAAATAATTGATTCATTATTCTCACCAGCACTGTCCTTTCTTTTTGCTTTAACGTAATCTCACTTTCCATTACCATTGCTTCTTTCACTCCTGCCCCCTGTTTTTCTCTGCCATATGTCACTGCTTTCCCTACATGTAGGCTTGAACTCTCTAATTGCCCACTGAAGGATTGTTAAAGTCCAAACTTTCCTCTCATCCTCCTCTGGCAGTGACATTTAGACAAATATGCAATTTCACTGCAACATTTTTTTGCCTTTTTCTATCAAATTATTTAAATGGAATTAAATTCTCTGCCTCTTTACCTTGGTTAAAAAAGAAGAGAATATGAGGATTAAAGTCTTTTCATGTCTTTTTTTTTTTTTTTTTAACCCCCTCAGTGCCTGCCATACTCGCTCCTCCTGCAGCAGCTGGAGCTGAAGAATGTGCGGGAGCTGGAGGACCTGCTGATTGAGGCCGTTTACTGTGACATCATCCAGGGTAAACTGGACCAGAGGAACCAGCAGGTGGAGGTAGACTGCAGCGTGGGTCGTGACCTTGGCCCCAACGAGCTCCCAAACATAATCAACACGCTGCAGGAGTGGTCAGTATGTTCGCCGTGTGTCTGTGCACACATTTCAGATTTATGTCTCTATTATCTGTTTTCCTAACTCACAATCCACCTCCCTCCATGCCTGTCCCCTCTCTCTCTCTCTCTCTCTCTCTCCCCCAGGTGTACAGGGTGTGAGGCGGTGTTGTGTGGTATTGAGGAGCAGGTCTCGAGGGCCAACCAATATAGAGAGAGCCAGCTTAAGGTCAAAGTCCAAGTGGAAACAGAGGTTAGTCCATCCCTCATCCCGTCAGCCAACAGTCCTCACGCTCTTTCCCACCGCCGGAAAATCCAGTAAATGGGACTCTCTGCATCTCAGTTGTTATGCTTCCAGCTACTGGTGGTATTTTAGTTTCCTCCCGACTGCATATTTCCTTTTTTGCATCTTGTTTAAGAGTAAGCTCATACAGCAGCATGTTCATATCTCTCACTTTAAAGGACAGATTCCCTGTTTTTTCCTTTTGTCAGTCTTAAAACAATAGCTGGTGACCCATATGAACAATGAATACAGGTTTTTTCTTGCTGCAATAATAAGGATGAATCAAGTGGGTATCTCCCAAGGTTACATTCTCCTTACTACATAATTTCCTCTTTGTGTGATTGTCCTTCAGCTGCAGCTAGGTAAGGAAACATTGGGGAAACTCAAACAGGCATTTTTATATTAAAGGAACTTTAACCTTTAGGAGATACCCACTTTATTTGAATAATTAAGTTTTGCGGAAGCTCATGAATGTTGTCTGTTTTTACACAACAGGGACTGTGGATTGTTTTGACCAGAATGAGCAGCTGGAAAAACATTAGTATTGTTTTAAGACAGACTTTAACAATTGTGAATCTAGTCAGGCTCTCTAAGATTTATAGTGATGTTGACCCGACATGCGATAGATGTCACCAAGCCCCTGCCACTAGGAAATGTAATGAAATGTAAGAAGGGGTCCTTACATACCTATTGGTTAGGAATTTTCAACTCTATTTCAGATTGTATCAGGACTCAATTTGAACCCACAGCAATCACAGCGCTGTTTGGGGTTCCACCTCCCGCTCTGCTGCTTCCAAAATATAAGGCAGACTTTGTAGCGTTTGTCACCTTATTAGTCAGGCGTCTTATTCCACTGAGGTGGAAATCTCCTGCACCCCCCCCCCTCATTCTTTATGGATCAAAGACATTTATTATTTTGTTAAAATGGAGAAAATAAGATGTGCCATAAACGGTTCACTTGCCGAATTTAATAAAACATGGGGACCTTTCTTTGCACATGTTGAAGGGTTGGTTTTTGCAGCTATTCCAGAGTGACACATTTGATCAAATGTCTCCATCCACTATAATGTACCAATAGTGGGTTTGGAATATTAGTTTTTATTTTTATTTTTTTCCTTCTATCTTGCTGATTTTGTATTTATATATAATGATTATTTGGTGACCAATGTGTACGTGTTATGTTTAGTTTAGTTTATATATTCGTTACATCTTTTTCGATAACATTATTCATGTATTTGTACTGCACTTTATAGATATGTCCTGTTCATTTGACACAACAATGCAGCTTGTTATAAAATGTTTTGGTTTTTTTGCATTTCTGTGTTGTAGAAAATCCAATAAACAAATTTGGGGGAAAAAAACCAATTGTGAATCTGTCTTTTAACTCATCCCTCTTGCTTAACCTTTATTTTTTAATCTCTTCACTTTTCCCTCAGGTTTCAAACCTACAGAAAACGTTAAAGGCCAGCGCCGCCTCTCCATCGTCAGGCCCCGCCCCAGCTGGAGCCGCCTCTAATCAGGACGCAGACCAGCCTGCCGAGCCGCGAGACCCTGCCTCTTCTCAGGAACCTCGACAACCAGGCAAAAAAAGTTCAAAGGTGAAAGGGTGAGTACGGTGACATTACCTTTGTGTTTACTGCGGTTACTTTGAGCTGTGTGGCTACATGCGTAGGAATAATACAGACTGCATAACTGACAGTATTTGGCTGTCAGTCATGCAGACAGTATTTATCTGCATGACTGACAGCATCTTTGATGTTATAGCTCTTGTATATAAAAGGAGTTTGCATAGAAATTGTGTTCATTTTTCTGAAGCAGAGCAAATGTTTCACAAATTGAACACATAAAATATGTTTGGCCATGTAGAATAATTTTCTGAAATTATGTTTTATTCAGACTTGTTGGTGTGCTCTTAAATCAAGTTTGTTTTGAGGTTTTTTTTCAAGCAAGAAATGCTATTTATTCCTACAAGACATAAAATTGGAACAAAAAGCTGCATGTGGAGGTTCTTTCCATTAAGTTTCTTTTATTGCTGCTTCTTTTGTTCTGTAAAGCACTTTGTAACTGTGGTTTTTGAGAGGTGCTTTATAAATACAAATTTACCTAGTTATAACCACAGTGCTATAAAGACTCTACTTCAAATACTAAATTAAAGCCATTAGTCCAATGTTCTTGTAGAGAGCAAAGTTAATTCAGCAGAGAACCACCGCTATGTTTCCATTTTTTCAATAAACATTAAAAAGCCAGCTGCTGGTGTAAGTGGTTTGTTCGTGTGTGAGCGTGTGTGTGTCTGCATGAAGTAGCTTTATTATCAGATGTACATCAGTGTTTTGCAGCAGTACTCTAACCCCGCTATCAGGGACTCTCTTTCTGTTCTGCTTGCATCCGGCCCAATTACCGATGGCTAATTTCACATCTGTCCTGGATTGTAAAATGTCACTGGATATACAAATGCCCCGCGTGCTCTCCTCCTGAAAGAACCATTTCCCCCTCCAGTGATCAGACGAGATGCTTTGCTCGTCTGCTGTTTATGTTGTTGATGCTGAACAGAAAGCAGTGATTATTTTCTGGCTGCCTGTCACATTTTGATGAAGCATAGAGCCCTATAATTTTCATCACTCAGCACTGCACTTCATTCAAATGAAGATCCACTTAATGTTTTGAAATCCAAATTAATGATAGCTTAACCTCAATCCTCGAATTAAAATGAGTTTTGACACCATTTCTTTATAAAGCTATTTAAAGGATGGTACTGATAGTGCAGCAGTTATTATTAGAAATTGGTTCTTTTCAAAAATTCTTTTTAATTTGAAGAAATGGAAAATCCACTGAGATCAATTTTGCTGCAGAAGTACTAGTCATTAGATATTTTAACACAAAGGCACTTCAGCAACCAGGCTAACAGTAGTGTGCGGGTTCAGTAGAGCATCTGTATTTGAAGTTGGAAAATAAACATGCAAACCATTTAATTCATTTGATAAGCAAGCCACAAATTCAGTGTTTTGTTTTGTTTTATTGTTTACCACTCAGGCTCCGCGGCAGCGGGAAAATCTGGTCCAAGTCCAACTGAAGACGAGATAGACAGCTGCGCTGATGGACACTCTCACTGATGAATGGACACGTGGACATGTTAACAGACAAATGGGTACATCAGACAATGTGGCCGATGCTCACGGACACCACTTAAAAACCAGGACGCTTCATGGGAATTTTTCTTGACACCTTATCTCACCTTGACGGATTCAGAAACACACACTGGCTGATGCATATGACAGGTGCGACATCCACTCTTGCAGTTGTTAATAGCCTATCAGGCGGACTCTAAGTGTATATACACACACATAGCGCTTGTAACACATGAATACAGAACAGTCTGCGGCAGGAGTCAGTTGCCTTTGACCAGAAACAGGATTAGTGTATTTGACGCGTATGTGTGTGTATCTCTATTGGTTTGAAAAAATGTTCTTTTGGTTAAGGTTAATTCTATGTTGCTTTGTATTTTCTTCTCTCTGCTGAGTTGAGACGTGTTAAAAAAAAAAAAAAAAAAAAAAAAAAGAGAATATAAATTGTTGGGAAATAAAACAAAGCCCTGTACTTATCCCGACTGTCTCATTAATGTCACTGTCACTCCTTTTAATAAATGCACTTCAAAGTGCATCTCTGGAGGGTGCACTGCTAAATGTTAACTCACAGAAAGGGGGCTACCCGTTAGGAGGTCAAGACATTAATTAGGGCATGTCCCCAAAGAGACTAATGTATTATAGAGCTGAGGCTTCCCCTGTGCGCAACCAGCATGGCTACACACACATCCGCACACACACACACCAAGTACATTCATATTTCATATGAGTATGTTTTGCCCAGAGCTTCTATTTCAGTGTCAAAATTGCCTGTTGAAATTGCCTGCCATCCTCCCTTGTACCTCCATCACGCAGTCAAAATTGCCTTCATCATGCCCGCCCGGTTTCTCACTCTTTTGATTCTGTTTTCTCTAAATTCTCCGCTTTTCATCCAACGTGACATTAATGGCGGCAATTAGCTGACCAGCAGCAACAGTGATAGGGAAATAGACAGGCAAATTATGATTCCCCACCCCCCCACCCCAAACTCCTTCCCCACCTCTATAAATAGTGGTGTTAATTTCAGTCAGCGTGATAGAGCTACATTAGTTCACAGTTTTTACCCGACTGGAGCTGTGAATTCTAACAGCTGTACACCTCTCCAAGTGTTTGTGAGAGACAGGAGTGGCTGTTGTTCGTGTAATTTGGAGAGAAAGTGGCAGGTGAGTTGCGTGTGGTGTATTCTAGTGAGCGTGTCCGTGATGACTCTGCATGCGTTATTCAACACCTAAGTTCTGCATTGGTGTTCGCAGTTTACAGATTGCTGCGCCGTCTGCTGTATGTGTCTCATAACTATAGACAGCCATTAAAACTTCCGAGTGGAACCAAGCCAATCAATTACTTTGATTGATCAGTAAAATGCCCAGAGGAGATGGAAACACTGGCTGTGCAGCAGAATGGTGGAGAATCTCAATACACTCGAGTGGCATTTCTCCCCATGTGCCCGTCTTGATTTTATTGACATTTGTTTGAAAAACTGTACACAGAGGAAATTCTTCCTTAGCATCCTGTTAATCTTTCTGAAGCGAGAGGAATCCATATGAGGTAAAGAGATAAGGAAAAGCTTCAGACACAAGCAGCCGCCTTATTTTTCCAGCCTTTTCAGCTGCTCCTCACGGGTAAAAACATGATCGGCACATGCAGGACTCTTTAATGCCAAGCCCATGGTTCAAAATCAATGCAAGGCGGTGGACTAAATGTTCACTTCATGGAGAAAAAGATTAGGATACAAAGGTAGCTATTAAAATGCACAGTGTAAGCTTTATCCTTCCCATAAAGCACTGCAGATCGCACAGCTTCCCTGGGGAATTCATTCAACATGCACAGAAATAAACAGACAGGCACAAAGCTAAAACGCCAGTGTTGAATCTTTATTGAACTTCCATGGTACAGAAAAACCACATTTCTACAGGAATGCTACTAAAAATCACAAGACTGGATATCTGGAGGGTTGCACGAGCCACGCATGATGCCACCAGCACTATGTGTGTAGTGGAAATGTGTGTAAGTGGTGGTGGGGGTTCATGTCTCAAAGCTGCTTAGAAAAGTTGCCAAACACAAACTGACATTTGGCTTTGAAAGGTTCTATAAGACATCTCTCACTGATAGATAAAATAGACATTTATAAATAATAGATTTGAAGCAACTCTCACAGGTTTTCTTACTGTATACATGCAGATTCATTGGAGAGACAGAAATGACGCTCCTTGATGTACTACTTTCCTTTGGTGCACCCAAGACAGCTGATAAAGAGTGACTCGAAAGTGATATGAGGCGAAATGATGGTGGTTTTGTTTTCCAGATTTGCGATACTTGGCTGTCAGGTGGAAAAAGAAAATTCCTTGTGGTGGTAACGACAGTCCTTTTGATCACTTGTACAGTTCTCATTTCCATGAAGGCATAAATCTGTCTTTGTTGTGCATCATCGAAAAAAAAGAATACAACCTTTGGGAATCATTGATTTTCAACAGGAATGCTTCTTCTACCCATTCCCATTCTGAATATTTTATCTCCACCAGTGGAAGTACTCGATGCTTAAAACACCTCTACACAGTCCAGCAGGAACAAAGGGTGCTCGCAAGGGCTCGGCAAAGAGGTGAACGTCAGCCAGATAATTAAGTGAACAAATCATGAGGAAAAACGGAAACAAAACAGACTCTTCTACACACTGCAGAGGAAAAAAGCCACACTATTTGCATTCCAGGCGCCCAAAGCTGGGAATAAACAGCAGTTTTTGGAGCGTGACATGTTAAACACATTGCCTGTTGGCTACAGCTGTGCCAAACAGCTTTGTGAAATACCCCATTCGGTGTTTGGAGATGCTGAGAATGGCTTTTTAACCATTTACAAGCCACACACAAGCCTTCTAAACTGAGCTGAATTTGAGCATCACCTCATGAAAGAACAGTCTGCTGGATTAGAATTAATAGTGAACAGTTTCACGTGTGCAGCTGGATCACTGGAAACAGTTGTGGAAGCACAGGTAGGGCATTTCAGGAGTAATAGGATGTTGCATGGCTGTTTAACTGCATGTTTGTGAATTAGTCATGGCAGGTCGAAGCGCAGCGCGGTTGGGTAGCTTTTGCAGAGCTCGGGGCCATACAGAGGAAGGAAAACAGGGAGCTGGTTACAGTGACGCAGAGACACATTAAAGAAATTTACACCCGGCACAGAGGAAGGAAGGAAGGAAGAAGGAAGGAAGGAAGGAAGAAGGGAGCAACAGGGAGATGAGTTTGGGATTTTTAGACCTCAGGGAAGCCAAGGATTTTTGTGATGGCTGGATACCTGGGATCCCTGAATTCATTTCACAGTTTCAGAGAAGATAAAACAGCACTGCAGGCACGTCCTCTGGTCGTGTTGATGCTCTTCCTCAGGCCCCGTAGAAATGTTTACCATATGGAAAAACAGTCACCTCAGAGGTTCACAACTGGGATCCTGACACAGCAAGAGACACAGACAGAGAAGAGAAAGTAAGAAAGAAGAGAAGAAAAGAAAAAAAAAGGTGGAAGGGAGGGTTATGGGAAGCTTGGGAGCCGTGGTGATGGGAGGAAAGACAGAAGAAGAGAAGTGGAGCAAAGAGGCCTGAAGCTGGAAAAGTGGTGCACACGCAAACGGAAAGCTGCATCACAGGGGACTGAGCGGGCGGCAGGGGGAAGAGAAGGAGGAAGAGGAGGAAGGTGGAGGAAAAGCTGATGGGAGGAGGAGGAGGAGGAGGAGGGGGTGAGAAGGAGCACTGGAGTACAGCTCTATAATTATCCTGATTGAGATTAACTTTAAATACCCTCGAATAAAAGCATCATTTCACGGACGGGGGCTGGGCGCCTTTTAACAGGCCCACGATGACTCATCCAAAGAGAGAGTTTAAAACACTGATACATCGTAAGGCAGAAGCAACACTCCAGGCCTGAATACTCCACAGAGGATAGCACCACTGTCCAGTTACACTCCATGTACATCCTTACAAGGCACACAATGTGATGAGGCTGCCACACACACACACACACACACACACACACACACACACACACACACACAAAGAAGCAAAGTTGGATCCAGAGGTGCACAGGCACTCACACATGCACATCAGACTCATAGACTTAAACACACACTCTCAGACTGTGCAGAGCTGGTGAGGCGACTCATTACCTCTCCCTGTCGGTGAAGGAGGAGGAGGTGCTGTGCAACGTCTGCCGGCTGTCCTCCGAAGCGAGGGAACGAGGGAGCGCGAGGGAGAGAGGGGGTGCCACGCCACGGGAAAGCGGGGGCGGATGCTGGGAACAGCTGCGATCGTAACTGGGAGAGAAGGATAGTCAGTCGGATAGATGGATAGATGGAGAGAGAGGGAGGGGTGGGGGGGTGGAATGAGGCAAGAAATTGGGAAAAGAGAAGAAGAAAGGAATGAAGACATGTAAATGTGGAGGATGGAGAGAGGGATAGAGGGTGAAGAAAAGGGAAGTGAAGAGGGAGACAGACAAGAGGAAAAAGAAAGAGGGATGAGAAAAGAAAAAGATGGGAATTAAGGAAAAAAGAGACAAAGGAGAAGAGGGACAGGAATAGAAATTTAGATCAAAGGACAAAAAAAGAAAGTTTTGAATGAGACAGATTACAGTAAAATAAGGTTAGAGAGGGAGAGACAGATAGCAGGAAATGATAGAGGGAGGGGTAGAGATGAAGGGAGACATACAGAGAATCAGATATGGAAAAACAGCAGAAGAAAGACAAAAGACGGAGGGGGGGGGCAGAGAAACATAGTCAGAGAGCATCAAGAACAGCAGAGCCATTTAGCATCAGCGAACACATTACACTGCCAGTGTGAGAGAGAATTAGTGCACTCATCGGACTCATTAAAACGCTGTCAGAGAGGAGAGGGAGGCAGAGCGAGAAATGGGGAAGGAGACTGCCACGGTGGGATGGGAGGGGATGGGAGGAGAGGGGGAGGTCAGAAGGGGTGAGGTGCAAAGGATGCAGCAGGGTGAAGAAATGGACAGAGGGGTGACGCATCACTGAGGTAGCGTGCCATTACTTCAGTGAGGAGAGTGAATTAAGGCGAAGACGCCGCGGAGAGTCACAGGTTCGGGCTCTTAAGAATACTTGAGACGCACAACAAAGCTGTTCTCACTGCCATAAAAGCCACCCTGCACCCTCATCTTCCCTCAATAACACCTGTCCTCTTCTGGCTGACTTCCTCTCCCCATATTCACACACACACACACACACACAAACACACAAACACAAACACAGTCACGCTTGATAACATTAGCCACACTGACAATTTTAGGGCTGGGAAAATCACTGAGCACATATGCCGCTCTTCTATACTCATAATGAACTGGACGGTGGCCAATTTCCACTATAGGCTATCATTTCAGTCCATCTGTACCCCCGCCCCCTCCCGTTCATTTCGCGGCGCTC